TGGCGAAGTCGCTGGACATGACAGCCTGGGAGAGAAAAGCAGAGACATCAGTTTTCATGAACAACTGTCACTGTCCCCAAAGATGCTTGTTTGAGGACAGTGTTTTATGGGTCTGCATCATTCAGGGCCTGAATAATCCCTTTCCATGTAGTCACTCTTGGTTGGCTCTTTGGCTTCTAACATCCTTCTGTCTCTTCTTGGAAGCTGAAATCCAAGAAGGGCAAGTGGGGAGAAGGGAGCAGCACTCCACTTGGCCCCTTGTTTCTATTTATCCAACAATCATTCATTAATGCCCATTGTCAGTATCTGTTCTAGAGTTGAGCCAGAGAACTGATTTTCACCAGGTGATTCACAAGTCCCTGAGCACCCCTGGGTACCTCTCAAACAGACTATTTGCATAATTTGCAGATGACACTGTTGCTTGGGAATTTTATTTACATGGTCCTAAGATGGGCATTTTATCCTTGGGGTTATTAGTCTAGAGGTAGAGGTCTCTTAAGAAAATGACGTTTAGATGTGTTACTTAGAAATCTTGGTATATACTTTGTAAAGAACTTTAAGTCCCTGAGCCTCAGTTTTACTATCTGAAAAAATTATCTAAATCTATAATATGTAATTATTTTATTATTTTTGTAGAAATTTTATTTAAATTAGAAACAATCCTATTTTACATTATCAATCCCAGTTTCCTCTCCCTCCCAGCCTCCCATGTCCCCCACCAACCTCCCCATCCCATCCCCCATACACTTCCCAGGGAGGGTGAGGCCTTCCATAGGGATCATCAAAGTCTGTCAAGTCATTTGGGGCAGGCCCCAAAGGCCCTCCCCCGTGTATCTAGGCTAAGAGAGTACCCCTCCATGGGGAATGTGCTCCCAAAGTCCATTTGTGCACTAGGGGTAAATACTGGTTATTATTAAAATTCCATGTGGTAAGACATAAATAAGAAGTACCTAACATTGCTGGCATGTGATAAACACCTGAAGGGTAATAGAGAACTATGGCTGCCTTTCTAATTCTCAGCTACGAATTTAAGCAGTATCTTCCCTGAAGGTTTGAAATCACGAGGCAGGATCTGTTTTAGTTGGAAAGAACAGTATTTCAGTTAAGTATGCTTGTTCCAAATCGAATTTTTAGAGAATTAGGTACACCATGAAATGGTAGTAATTGATTTTTGGAGGCATAAAATATTTTCCAAATGTCCTTATGTATGTCACTCATTATGGAGGGCACAAGAAGGACATGTGGAGTTAGAGAGAGACTTATATGCTGTGCAGCCTTAGACTACAGCAATCAATGCCTTTTGTAAAAAGCTACATATCCCTCGGTGTCCTTCTGTTTTTGGAGGACTGGATAGTAGGATTTTGATGACAGAGGACATAGAAGCATGGGCGACACCCCTGGCTGTCAGTTAGTAATTCTATGATGCTCAAAGGAAGGTTTCTTCTGCAATGTAGTATGTTCCTCAAATCCCAGGAAGGATAAAGGAGAGCAGTGGAGAAATCGGAATTAAAGTGCACATTACCTGCATGCCTTCCTGCCCAGATATCCCAATGCCAATGTCAGCAGCTTGAATCATGCTCACGTCATTTGCTCCATCACCTGAAAAGAGTGAGTGGCTTTATTCCTTGTCCAACCACTCAGTGATGAGAAATCTGCATATCCCCGTTGGCACAGTTGAATTTCTTTCTATGTTTCTCTAAATAGGATATCACTGCTACAGTACTTGGCCTGGCAGTTGCCTTTTTAAAAAATGTGGATGAGAAACTCCAATTTTAAATCTTTCAGTGAATATTTTCATTTCATCCCCCATCCCCCTGCTGCCACAATGGTGATCAAGAGAGTCATGAGTGGTCCTTTACAGTTTACAGAAAGGCCTTTGCAAACATCAGAATAGATTTTGCTAAAGAGCAAATCAAGACTCTGACCCATTTTGAGACTTGGTCCAGGCAGTTGTCTGGTGAAGGCCCTCGTAAGTACGGAAACTGGAATCTTTCTGTTCTGAGTCTTTGGTTGTTAGGGCTTTGATGTGACATGTTAACTAAAAGGCTTCTGTGTTCAAGGTTTGGTCCCCAGCTGGTGGGTCCACTCACTGAGAACTGATTGGGTCATGAGGGCTCTAAACTTTATCAGTGGAGCTGTCCATTCCTGGGTTTATAATTTGAGGTCATTCTTGGGAGCTGGTGGGAGGTAGGGTCTGGCCAAAGGAAGTGGGTGACTTGGGGTATGCCTTTGAAGGGTGTCTTCTCTCAGGCTCCTTCTGTGTCTCTTAGCATCAGATTGTCATGAGGTAGCACTTCTATCCCATTGCTCTACCCACATGAATTTCTGTGTGCACACTAGAGCTAGAACAAATGCTAAGTGAGACTCTACAGGGAGTCACATTCCTAGGTCATCCACCATGATATTCTGCTTCCCACTTAAGGAGAATTCAGTGGAGCTAGAAATGCACTGAGACTGCCCAAACCAGGAGCCAAATAAACAAATCGTCACTTGAAGCTGGTTAGGTCAGATATTTCATCATGATGCCAAATAGGTAATTAACACCAGGCCTAGGAGCCTTCTCTACCTTAGTTTGACTTAAACCAGCCACCATACCAAGATGACTAGAATGCTGGGTCAGCCAGATCATCAGAGACTGTGTGTAATGCCTAAAGGGATGGATGGCATTCAGTTTTCTGTATGAATATAGAGAACTGAGATTGACTCACTTTTTTGGCTGAGATATATTCATCACATTGAATGAATTAAATTGTCATGAGAACACACACACACACACACACACACACACACACACACACACACGCTCTAAGAACTATCAAATATACTCTTCTCTGATGAAGTAAAAACTCTGTATCTACAATGTCCAGTACAGAACTGCTGTCATCTTACGTCTATTGAAATGTGGCTGGTGAAGTTCTATTTAATTAAGAAGCCACATACAGCTCTCTACAGCGAGGGCATCTTACAGAGCTCAGTTCTCCTCAATGCTTTATCTTTTAAGCCAGAGCTCAGCAAACTAAACTCTAAAGGATCCAAGAAATATTTTAGACTTTGTAAGCCACAAAGCAAAGTCAAATCATTGTTGGCTGAAATGCTGGTAGTTATAAACTTTACATTTAAAAATACAAAAGTTGTTACTAGCTTTCACACAAAGATATGTAGAAGGCTGGACACAGCCTGTGGGCTATGTTTTGGTAATTCCTATTATAGACTGTGTTGACTGTATTCGCTTCCCAGTCCTACTTTTTTCTTTTCTAAAAGCTTCTCATATATAAGCCATAATTAAGTTTACATTGTTCATCACAGAAACTATGGAATTGGAGAGGAGAGAGAATAATTTTTCCCTAATTATTTGGCAATAAGTATATTGAGCTTTAAAATGTTATCGTTAATACTCTACCCTGTAAATTTATATAATTATGTGTCAATTAAACATCTAGTATTTGCTTTTCTAGGTAGGCTTTGTTATTATAATAATGATTCTTTTTTCAATAGCATAGCAGTCCACAATTTTAATCCTTACGAAGGCAGAATAAATCTAAGCTTTAACTCCTGTTGCACACCAGGAGAAGCTATTTCTTACCCAGTTGCGTTTGTTTCTGTTAGGCCAATCTCTATCCCCAGAGAACGTGCTGGGCTATTGTCTATTGTGTATCTAAATTACACAAGAGGCCAATTCACAGTATTGAAGTAGGAATGTAGTTGCTGTGGATCTGTTCCTCTCATTTTCTAAGGTACAATCTTATATATTTCAGGCTCTCTGTGTAGGTGATAATGACCTTAAATTTTAGGTCCTTCTGCCTCTCCTCCTAAGTGCTGGGATTATAGGCATGTGCCACTGTGCCTGGTCCTCTAGTTTTTAAATTCAGTTTTTATATTGCACATGAAGACCGAGGGAATAACATAATATTTGTCAGATCTCCAGGACACCAGAGAAAGAAGAGAGGCTAGAACTATCTTCAGAAAGGACCTGAAGTAAAGTAGTTACCCTCGACTGTGAGGATTACCTCTCAGAACTGCCAGTGTGTGTCTGAAACCATGGAGAGTGCTAGACTCTATAGACTATTTTTTGTTTACGTATGTAATGATAATAAATTTTAATCCACAAATTATGCCCAATAAAAGGTTAACAATAACTAACATATGATATTATAGTAAATTAAAATAATATACCATAATAGTTATTAAACACACAAATGTTCATTTCTATAGTTACCTACTCTTAGACCCAAAGGCAACAAAAATTACATAAAATGAGACCTGGATGCTGTGTATGTTGGTTGAGAGATGAGGAGGGAATGGCTGTAAATGTGCTGGTCATGAGATGAAATAGTGAATGAAACATACCCCAATCCCTGTAGGTTCAGGAATTTGTGAACCATTGCAGAGGTGGTCACAGAAAGGACAATAGATTTGGACCTAAATGGGAAAAGGGAATCCCAGAAAAGAGAAAGATAAGTAGGGGATGAGGAGAATGGCATGTAATTTAATTTGGAGGAACATGAAGACCCCAGTGATGAGGAATGAAACGTGGTCATGATAAGAGACACTGTCAGAGAATTAGTGGAGACCGGATCATGAAAATTCTTATAAACCAGGCTTGTTGTGTCTAGGAGGTACTCAGTGAGAAGTTTTTATTTCTGTGCTTTGGCCTGATCAATTCATGCCCATCTGAGCAATTTATCATCAACCAACCAGAACAGATTAAGAATATGCTTTGTGCTGACCTTGGATTTAGAGAATAGCATACAAAATTAAAAGTGAGCTCATCTAAGGTTATGAAATCTCCCTACCAGTCCCCTATCCTCAGAAGAATAGCAAATTCATAGCTACCATAGGTAATACCATGGGTAAATTAATTCTGGAAGGGTAGTTAATTCCAGTAGGAAGGTACCTCCTAGTGGTGCTGTCTTGGTTGTCTATTTCTGGTGGAAATATTATTTTAAAAATTACATTCATGTTTTGAGTTCCAGTCCCTTGTTGGCAGTGACCTCCCTATAAGATCTGATTTTTGTTTAGCTAAATGGCCAGTTCTAAGAGCTCTGATCATTGCTCGAATCTAGTGGCCCCTGTTTCATCACCTAACAGACACATCTCAACTGTGATTTTTATCAAGGACAACAACCCTCAGCCTAAGCATGTTGGCTTTCATAGATGACCCAGATCATCATCCCTGTTCAAGATGCCACCCATATCCCAGTATGATGGGTACCTATGGAAAGAGTCATGACGCTCAACTTGTCTCGCACCAGCTTGACAATCATACTCTTCTGGAGTGGGGTGGAGCGGCAACACAGGACAGACCGACAGTGCTGGGTCAACTCCAGGAACTTATTTTCCAGCTTCCCCTGGAAAATTGCATTCAATGTCTTCCCATCAATGACTAGTCCTACTTTAGGAGCCATAGCAGATGGCATCTTAGATGGAATGAGGCACCCACAGAGTTTTCGGGCTGCCTCTTGTGGTTCATGAAACCTCTTTACATCTTCCAATGCACAGTTGAGGATGGACTCACAGGTTTCCTGCAGAAAGTCATATAATATAGTATTAGTAAGCAACCTTGTATGTTAAGACTTTAACCCTTGCTTCTAGCAAGATAATTATAAAACTCCACCATATAGGTTGTTTAGGAAATTTTCTCTAAGTTCACTGTACATTTCTCTGCAGTATGTGAAGCTGCATTAAACTATACTAATTTTGAAACAAATTAGTGGCCAAAATAGGAGAAGGTGATTAGGAATAAAGTAAAAGTTGCACAGCAAGATGGCAACTGAGTTGAGGTGGGTATAAAGTATAAATCAACATTAACATGTCGCTAGACACAGCATTTCATACTGCTATATAATCTGGTTTCAGTCTCTTAGAAGCCTCCCCTGTTCCCCCTTTTGACATTTTTGTAGATGCTCCTGGTCAAGATGTAAAGATGAGGAGATTGACATGATGAGTAACTTAGTAACTTACTCAATGTCAACTTAACATAGTAGTGAGGTACCAATGATCTTGACTTCTTCAAACGTGGCTTCCTAACTTAAAAAGCAAACCACCTGTGTTTATCTATTGGTCTATTCCACAGAGGTCTTTTAGAACTGTGCTATGAAGTGTTTTTCATGTTGGTCTGAACTGACCATGGATATAAAGTTCTTACTGGTTCAAAGAATATTCTCTGTACATTTTATTTCTGTTTCTTTGAGATGGTCTTTTGATACTGCTCAGGTTGGCCTTGAACTTGTGATCATACTGCTTCCTTTTTAAAGCACTATGATTAAAGATGTACCACTATCATGCTAGTTTTGTGGTTTTTCAAATGATGCTTACTTTGAAATACAGAGAGGAAGTCATTTTTAGTTAGCAATCCCTTTCTACCACTCTGAATTTTATCAGTGATAAAATCATATCTTGATACTAATGATTCTTCTGATATCTCTTCAATCCTTATAAACACCACTTTTTAATAAAGCTTGAGGAAACATAAGATAATAATATGAATAACTTCAAAGCATGTTGTATTCAGGTGGACAGTAATTTCCATTTGCAAGTGTGACATGCATGCATTTGTGTATGGAAGTTTGCATATGTGTTGGTGAATGTGTAGGCGTCTTGTGCATGTGGAGGCCAGGGATGGATGTTGGATGCTTGCCTTGATCATGCTCCACTTCACCCAGGCAGGGTTTCTTGCTAAACCTAGATCTTGTCCATTTAGGTGATCTATTGAGCCAGCTTGCCCTGGGCATTACCTGTCTCAGCCTTCTAAGTGCTGGGATTAGAGGCAGGCACCATGCCCACTTGACATGTGGGTGATAGAGATCTGAACTCTGTATGCTTGTACCACAAGTGCTTTATTCCTTGAGCTGTCCGCTGAACCCTATCAGGTTCTTTTACCCATTGTAAGAGATGATGCTTCTTTATTAGTTAAAACGCTAAAAAATCTACACTAAAAGTACATACTATTCAAATGAGTTAATTTAAATGAAATAATTAAGAGAAATAGTTGAGGTAACAGATGGATTTGGGTAGATTTTCAGAGGCTCCTGAAGTGACAGATTTGGAGAAACTCGATCTAGTGATTCCTGGAGCAGGTACAGCTCATTTTCCCAAGTTCTCCTCTAGGAGATGCTAAATTACTTGTTGCACACAGTAGGAAATGCCAGAGAACTGGTTCTAGGTGTAAGGTTTACTAGAGCTCAAATCTGAGACAGACTGTGAGCTGAGTAACACGCTTCCTAGTTGAATCAACATCTGACCTCAGAGCCCTGGAAAGGTGGTCTGCAACCTCCCTGAGACCTTCATCCTCAGGCCCCAGCTCAGAAACCCCTAGGTTTCTCTCTCACAGACCATGAGATCATAAAGATCTGCTTTGGCTGCTAAGCTCTGGGATAGCTTGTCATACGACAATAGCTAACAAATGTAGGGACTAAGTAGGTACTTCCCCTCTGATCTTATTTAATTTGTTCAGCAATCTGTAAAATAAGTATTTTTAATCCATGCTTTCCAGATGAGAGGAAGAAAGATATGAAGCATGCTATTTGAAGCACATGAAGCTCTAAAGGGGTTGTCAATATTAACAGCAACAGTGATTGTTATTATTATTTTCTTTTGAAATGTGTTTCTAGTCATGGGATAGTAAGTCCTTTATTATATATTTTTGAAAACCCAGAGGTCTTGGCAGACCCCATAAAACTAGTTTATTGCTTTAATTGCTTTTTTATATACAAAAGATACTAGACTTAAATGTGTTTATAGCTAGTTAAGCAAGTTGAAACCCCTAGAGAAAATATTCACTGAATAGGTAATTACATTAAACTAGGGCTTAAATAAATCTGAGATTTAGAGTGTATATTCCCATTTTTTGCTTTAACATATTTATGTATCTACTACTTACTCCCAGGGAAAAGGCTGAGGAAGACTAATCTTAAAGGAGTACTGGGTCCTGGGATGTAGACAGGTATGAATATATACGTGTATGCGTATATACATATATAAATATATGCATATATACATATATACATATATACATATATAAACATACATACAAGTATCTTTCTTCATGGTATAAAAACCAAATATAAATCTTCCCAAACTTTTACTCTGGGGTCTAGTTCAGCTGGTAAGAGGCCTGAATCCTCTCTCCCTCTCTGGTGGCTTCCCACTCCCAATTCCCTATGGCAACCTGCCAGGTTCCTTTCTCTACAACCCTAGGGTACAGTGATCACCTTGTCTCCACTGATTCCCATCCCTACTCCCTTTGATGGGGGTGACATCTCAGCACTCACTCTCCAAAGTCCTCACCTCACTTTCTGTATTTGCTTCAGAAAAAGGGAAGCCACCTTCCTAATACAAACTTGTACAATAGGGAGGAAGAACCTGCTAGATTTCACACAGTGCTCTCCCAGTTCTCACTCTTTGCACAAAACCCACAATCTACTCAGGGTGAACACCACTGTTTTAGGACTTTGTTCCTCTTTGCCTCTCTCCCATCCCATCAAAACACACCAGCTGAACGCATTATTCCCTTAGGGTCCTGCTCCATGACATAAAAACTGGTGTTAAAAATTGAAACTCTGGATCATTTCAGTTTTAAGTGGGACTTTTCAATAGGTGGGATAATCTTAATGGGTGAGACACTGACAATTGAGTAAATGGTGTGGCATATGTGACTCTATTAGTCTTGCAAGAGAGCAGAATTCTAGATTTGGTGTTTTCATAGACAAGCAGGTGAAGTTTCTGGGCAATAGACTGAGCCCTGATGGCTTTCAATATCCTTACCTGTAGAGTAGGGAGACTCAAAGTTTCTAATAAGTAGCAGCATCAAAATGAGCAGTTAACTAAGTGTGTGGATGGATTATTGGATAGTGGGCTAAATGTCTTCTAAATCCTTCCTTGAATCCCTTGAGATCCAAGATACAGAGAGTTGGCTGAGGGACTGCTGCATTAATCAACATTAAATCCCTGTTTGGCCTCACCTGGTTCTCTGTGTTGATGGAGTACACGGTGTCAGTCTGATCCAGCAGTTTGCAGGAATATGCAATGTTAACTGCTGTCTCCTGTTTATCTCCTGTCAAAACCCAAAGCTGGATTCCAGCCTCCCGAAGTGCAGCGATGGTGTCTGGAACTCCTTCCTGGAGTCGATCCTCAATCCCAGTGGCTCCTGGAAAGTCCAAAGAAATGGGAGCTCAATTTACGGCAAAAGTGTGGCTGCTTACTTTCTCAAGGCAATACATAGCCAAGTAGTGTTTACCAAATATCTTCTATATGTTAGTCTCAACACCCAGGATACAGCCATGAACCAGATAAAGATATCTGTGTGCTGGCTAATTTTATGTCAACTTGATACAGTCCAAAGTCATTTGAGAGATGGGAACCCTTGAGAAAATGCTTCTATGAGATTACAGGTAGGCCTGTATGGCATTTTCTTTTGTTTTTTTGCATTTTATTAATTAGTGATTAATGTGGGAGGGCCCAGCCCAGCTCATTATGGGTGGGGCTGCCTCTGGGCAGATGGTCCTGGGTTCTATAAGAAAGTGGGTTGAGCAATGTGGCATCCACACCATGACTAAGTCTAATGGAACCTCCACTTGTGGAATCTGCACCACAACTAAGTCTGAGTATCGGGTGAAAGCCTGGAGATTTGGTTAAAAACCGAGCTGTCTGGTTGCTTGTGCTATGTGTGTCTGTCTTTTTTGCAGGGAGGGAGCAGCTTTGTATACAGACTAACAGCACAGTGGAAAAACCCCAGGTGTAAGAGCTCATGCTTTTGATGCCAGTGGGGCAAGGTTGGGGCTGTGATCCAAGACTAGAAAACAGGATGCACCTCTAGTTATCAACCCACAGAGACCCCGTGGGGGCTGGGGCCCAATAGAGCAAGTCATGGGAAACAAGCCAGTAAGCAGCTCCCCTCCAAGTTGTCTGCATAAGCTCCTGCCTCCAGGTTCCTGCCCTGTTTGAGTTACTGTTCTGACTTCCTTCAGTGATGAACAGGGATGTGAAAACATAAGCCAAATAAACCTATTCGTCCCCAACTTGCTTTTGGTCATGGTCTTTCACTTTAGCAATAGTAACCCTAAGTAGTGCAATTGGTACCTGCCCAGAACTCAAATCATTGGATGAAGGGTTGTAGTTGAGCTACATGGTAAGGCCAGAGTGCTATGTGAGTGAACACCGAGCTTCACCTTGAAAGTCAAGGAAGATTTTGCTGCTGGAAGACCATGTTGATTCAGTTCTGGAAGATCAATCACAGAGGTGAAGGTAGAGGGATCTGCATATTTAACAGCCTTGAGTTTAGAGTAGATGACTAGACAGGATGCAGAAGGGAGTACGAGAGGGAGGGAGAAGGGCTTTTGGGTCATATCAGGGCCTTGATAGATAAACAATTTATCTTTCAGCCAAGAAAGCTGTTAAAGGGTGTAAGTTGGGGAGGGAAGGACAGGATCAGGTTTGTAGTTTCAGATCATTCTAGAGAGTGGAATGGAGATGGGAGAGGCTGGATGAGAGGTTCTTAGGGCCTGAGCAGGAGTGCAGAGGAGTCCTGGTGGTGGCCTGTAGTGACACAGGGCAATGGATGTGGAAGAGATAAGGCAGGGACTTTCACTCTGCAGCTAATCACAGCAGATTTAATAGGGATTCAGTTTTTTTCTACTGTTCTTGGAGAGAATTAGATATTTAGGCGCCATCATTTGTGGCTGATCTCAAGCTTTGCCCCAACCCTGATGAATCCATACCCAGATACTATATAGTTGCTAGACACTTAAGCAAAACTCAACCTGCATTTAAAATGAGATTCATTTCAGGCCATAGACTAAGGGCTAATGATTTCACTTAGAGTAGAAGCAAAGGCTTTGTTTCTTTGAACAGACAAGAGTGGTTAAAAGTTGGCAGAACAGTTACACTGGATGTATATTGAAAAATCAACTCATATTTTGAGACTTAGGGTGAATGCCATGTTGCATTTGTGGTGGTCACAGAAAATCTGCCACCCAGTCACATTTTCCAGCCACCTTATAGTTAACAAAAGGGACCTATCTCTTTTCAAATGTACCTATTTTATATTTCAGGTACAAATGCCAAGGTAAACAACTCTATGGACAGTGTTGGTTTAAATATCATCTTTTTCTGTGAGGTTTAGCCTGCAAGGTGAACTTCGGAAGTTGATTTATAGTACAGAGGGGCTGTATGAAGGAGGGAGGAGGAAAAACACATTTATTTGTGTGAAAGGGAAAATGAAATAGGAAGGCTGTGGATGCATCTCCCAGACAGGGAAGCTGACTGTCTCTGACAAGTAAGTTCCTTGCCATATCCAGCTGATGAACATTTTCTGCACCTGAGACTTGTTGCTACCCTGAAGCTGAAGATGTGTTCAAGGACCTGAGAGACTGGTGGGAACCCCAGGTGGGGTGACTGGCTGCAGACTTCTGTGGCAGTTGGAATATTCTGGACTTGCCACCTTCTGGTTCTTGGGAAAACAATTCCCGTGTCCAGCTTTAGAAGTGCCAGGGCTCATGGGCAACACGAACAGGCCTCTGTAGCCAAGGCAAAGGACAAGAGGCTAAAGGTGCTAGAGAGTAAACACTTCTGTTTGAAGGCTCTTCAACTAATCTTGCTGCTACCCTTTAGATGTAAAGGCCTCACCATCTCCCAAACTGAGCTGAAAGTTTGCTTTCAGCTTAGTGGCCAGTGCACACCCCTGATTCCTTCTTGTGTGTCTTTTTTGATGGGGTTGGGAAAGATCCCCTATACCTAAACTCCTTCCTGCTGCAGCTCTTCCATCCTAGAGGCCTCAGAGTGATTAAAGACATGAACATCTTTCCCTAGGCAGGGGGAGATTCATCTTCCTAAGCCAAGCTTCCACTTTTCAGCTTGCAATGCTATTCTTCCTAAACACAAACCTGTCTCTTAACCAGCCTCAGTACTTCTCAGCTTGCCACTGGTTTATCAGCCTACTCTTTATATAGCAGTAGCCCTGGTGACTTTACTAAAGTACCCCATAAATTTTAAGCATATGGTATACATGGCACATCATAAATTGGGTTCCTCTGGCCTCTTTGACCTCCTGTCAATTCTCCTCTATATTATTTGGTACAGTTTTTAAAGCAGATTTCTGTATTTCCGTATCTCCTCAGACCTCACTTGCTGCCTTTCATGTAGTCCCTTCATTCTGTTATGAAACACCCCCTTTTCTGAACGGCTTATTTTGTTTCCAATTGGTGGCCTTCCCAGACCCTTTTTGATCTGAATAATCCTATTTTGCATTTGTCTTCCACCTCTACCTCTTTTGGCCCAGATCTTATCACTTGCTGAGTGATGAAATGACTTGCTGAACCATCTGGTTAGATTATGAGCTTGTGGGAAGGTAGAGGCTGTAGTTGGCATCTCTCACTGTAGCCACAAAGCCTAGTATGCTACTGGGTGCACATGGTAGGCATACAACAGACATTTGAATGGGAAAAGGAGTTTGTTGTTGAAGAAGAAGCCAAACTCATAGGCTTCTCCCAGAAGAAGTCCAGGGATGCTCTCAGAACATCCCCAGGAAGCTGGGCTGGCTGCTGGCATAGCCCAATTATGCCAAATATCTGGAAACACCCAGGGAAGGCTCCTAATTGAGACAAAATTGTAGTGGCATCAGAATCCTGGCCAAGAGCTCCTTTCCTAACATGTAACATTCCCTTTTCTTTTTTGTTAATGGAAGATGTCTTATTCCCAGTTACCGAGTAAGGTGAGATGATTTTCCAGGTGCTGGGCTGTCTCCATCAGAAGCTCCTCTCTGTTGTCCAGGGATGCCTCAGCCTCACGGCGGAAACTAGCCCATCTCTGGAAGTCCTCTTCATTTACAACCTATGCAACAGGAAGAGGATTATTAGTAACCTTGAGTGATAAGCAAATGGAGTCCTCTTTTCTTCCTAATATGTGGGCCTCTTATATGTGTGTTTGGACTTAACAGAATTGGGTGCGGAGTTTTCCATAGTGATGTTGTGACTGCATAAATTGATGAAGATTAATCCTTATGTTCCATGACCACCAAACGTCTACTGAGTCCCTACTGTGCTCAGGGCTCTGGAGAGGGACAACAAAAGCAAGGTCTCAGGATGCCCCAGATTATATACTGATGGAGGGTGAGATATTTTAGTCAGGTAAATGATTTAAATGGATAGATCATTTCAAGGAGTACTATGCAGATAACAAAAAGGATGACACTATAGAGTCTGTTGGGGTTGTGGCTCTCTGTTGGACAGTAAGGTCTTCTTGAAAGTTAACACGCAAGGTAAGACCCAAGGAGCCCATGCAGCAGTCGATAGCCTTAAGGCCAGAATATGGACAGCATAAACTGGAGTTAGATGGTTATTATATAACAAATAGAAGACATAGCATTGTGGGAGTAGGATAGGTTCTGGAGAAGTTAAGGCGATGAGATGGGGGCGTGGGAATATGATCAAAATGCATTGTATGAAATTCTCAAGAAATTAATAAAAATATTTTAAAAGGACCCAATCCTATGAGTTATAAGGAGGAACAAGTGCAAAGGCTATAAAACAGCAATGAACTTGACCCCATTCCTGACCCATTAATGCATCAGCTGGTGGAGGTGGAAAGCATACTAGAAGGGTCAGACATGAGGCTGGAAAGGAAAACAGTGACCATGTTTTCCACAGCTGCTAGAACACTCCAGTAGGCATGCTGTCAAACATACAGAGATGCTGTGTCTTTCTCTCATAGCACTCTTGAACCACCATGTTTATATGTCTGCATTCTCTTTGAATAATTCTAATAGACAAGCACCAAATATTCATTGAGTCTCCCTGTATGGCTCTACAGGGAAAAATCAAGGGACAGAGGTCTTGTTTGTTTTGAGGTAGGATCTCATGATGTAGCCTTGGCTGGCTTGGCATTCACAGGGGTCTCCCTGCCTCTGCCTCCTGGGTGCTAGGATTAAAGGTGTGAACCACCAAGCCTGACCACAGGTAGGTCTTTGGCATCTGAGAAATGTACAGAAGACAAAAAAAATGTCTTTTTTGAAACAAGAGCCTGTTTCAAAAAGTTATTAAGAATGCCAACACCAACACCAAGCAAAGAATGGCGATATGGCCTAGTGTAGAGTGCTTAGCATGGTCCTAGAGTCAATAGCCAAGAACAAATAATAATCTTGAAATTATTAACAAAGCAAACCAGTGGTCTTCTGTAAAGAAAAAAAAGAAACAACTGGGGAGATGGCTCAGTCAGTAAAGTGCTTGCCACACAAGCATGCAGACCTGCTTATAATCCCAGCACTGGGGAGGCAGAGACAGGAGGATGTCTGGAGCTTTCTAGGCATTCAGTGCAGCTCCAGATTCAGTGAAGGACTATGCCTCAAGAAAAAACAAAAAACAAAAAACAAGACAAAACAGAACAAAAAAACAAGGTGGAGAGTGATTGAGGAAAACACTGATATTTACCTTGGACCTACACACACACACACACACACACACACACACACACACACACACACACACACAGGCACATAACACACACACACACACATGCACACACACCCAGGATGGGCTGAAGGCCATTCACCCACTGCTGACATCTGCAGTATGCCTGCAGGAATTTATCCTTACCTTCTTAGCAATACACAGAGTTCGAAGGCCATCCCTTGCATACAAGTCCAGATGCTTTTGGGTCCGGGCTTGGATTCTTCTTAGCTTCTTTTCCACATCAATATCACTCACTGTCAAAGAGTTATTGTCTCCCATGAAGCCATGGGCAAATGGTCAGGGAGCTTCACCCTCAATTCCCCGGAGTCTTCCCAGGTCACCCATACCAGCTTTAGTGGAAGAGCCCCCTTTCCAGCCCTCCCTTGGAACATGCAAGAGATGTTGTGATAACAGGCTGCCCAGGGAAATGATAATTTTAAGAGTCCCCACACTGTCTACTCCTTATAGCTTTTCTTGAAAAGCCTGGCTGGGAAAAGTGCTACAGAAGGACAGGAGGTAATCGAAGAAATTGTTCAAATACATCTACTTACAAGAGAACTGCCTGGAGAGTTAATACAAAGCTATCCTCAAGTGGAGGGTCAGGGGCTAGGAAATTTCAGTCTGGCTTGTTACCCAAGGTGTGTTTTCAGTTGCCAGCCTTGCCTGTAGAGCCAACCAACTTTGCAAACTGTTTTCTGGAAACTTAGACGATCCATCATCCTCATTGTCATTTACTTTGGTCCTTGTCAAGCCCAGTCTCATGACAGCTGCAAACCTGGATCTCATTAGCGGAGTTCTTCAGCACGCTGGCTTTGCTGACTTAGGCTTTCTCTCAATATGAGGGACAGTGTTAGAAAGAAAATAGCTTTTGCATTTCCTGTAACTTTAGTGTGAAAAATACCTCAATGCCTGGTTCAAAATCCCTGTGTTAAAGTTGCACATAGCATATTTCTTTCTGAAGTCGTTTGTTTTTTTCTCTATTAGACAGTAAGAATATTTTAGGGCTGGGCTGGCTCAGGAGGGACAGGACCGATGATAGTGTCACTTTATCTAATCTGTGACAGGCATCACTCATCTAACACAGCGGCCTGTAAATCTGAGCAGTGGAACCTTCAGAGATTCTTTACCAGTGTTGAACAGGGGTTCTAGAGAGATCCTCGGTAGTGAATAGAATTTGAACACCTCACTCATTACTTTGTAATTCCTTATAGTGATCTCACTAAGGAAGGCCAGTCAGTCTATTTCATATAATATAAACATCCTTTCAAATATTTTCTCATTGTTCAAAATACCTAAGCACGTTCTTCATGTATGCAATGGCCAACTGAACACTATTTACACTATTTTGCCTTCAAAAATAGTCTTTTTGAAGCTCATCTCTTGTGAGCTCTTGGGTTCCCTCCCCACCCCCAGGTTGCCAGGAACCTCAGAGTCCATCTGAAAACACAAACATCCCAAGTACACTAAACTTGATGCTATTTCTCCTCTCCCTTTCAAAGTTTTGCTCTTTTTTTAACACAGTAACACTGTGCTTTTTTTTTGTCTTTTTTTTTTTTGCAGATTTTTAAAATTTGAATTACAAACAAGATTGTTAGATCCTAGTTCCATCTCTCTCCCCTCCTTCCCTACTGACTGTGCTTTTTATTGGCAGTCTCTCCAACCCATTTTTTGCAATCAGGTGAAGAATGAGTAAACAAATGTCTCCAGGATAGCATGGGTGTGTTGCCCAGAGACAGAGTTCTATGGCTTCCTCCACTCAGAAGCACTGAATTTACTTGTCTGCCAGAGTCTAGGGATGAAGAGAACTAATTAGCTCCCTTCTCATTCTAAACACTAATCAGTCCCCATGAACCTCTTGGCTGTGATCCACAGCTGATAATGCAGGAGGCTCTGGGCTGCCTGGGCAATTCTGAAGCTTGGCTGGGATCTACTATCCTGGGAGAATCATAGCCCTATCACTGTCTTCTCCTTGTTAGTAATCAGGATGCGGCTGAACACTAATTCAGGCTTCTCCGAAATTGGGCACTGACACATAGGGACTTTGGAACATTTTTCTGGCTCTGTGCAAGTTTATGAAAATCTATCTTGGTGTGGGGGAGGGGCACTGGGGAAAATTATAATAAAGAGGGATACTTGAGGGACCACGGTGTGCTCTAGGGTATGACTAATGGATGTTTAGACAGAAAGAAACAGGGTGTGGATCTGGAAAATGAGTATTATAATGAGGGTGGAAATCTGGAACCTGGGAAAAATGGTTTCTCATATAGAAGACTTTGTAACATCTTCAATGTACTAATGAACACCCCATTCTCTAGGTCAAGGTGATGGAAAATTCGGCGTGTTCTAAGGACCTTGTTTTGAGAGCATCTCATGGGCCCCGGATCCTGTTGGGACAATTTCGGCTCCTCATCCCCACTCCACACTGCCTGTGGGACTATAGCACCTGTGTTCCTGGGCCTCATAAGGTGAACTCACCACAGGCTGGATCTTCTAGCAGGTCCATGATAACTGAGTCAGCACCCTTGGTGTAGACGATGATCTCACCGGTCAGTGGGTGCCTCACCACTACTGACATTCTCTTCCGGACAGAGTCAAATCCCAGTGTGAAGAGGAGGTCAAATGTGAGGCACATGCCCTGAGGTAGACGCACAGTCACCTGCTCAGGTGTCCTAGACACCAGTGTGAAACTGTAGGCACGGGCAGCATGCACGAGAGCGGCCTCATCTGGGCTCTCAGCCTCATAGCAGAGCTCAGGTCCATCTAGGCTGAGAGCTGGGCCCTCCAGCCCCTCCTCCAGAGAAGCCCCTGATTCAGACCCCAGGATGTCACCCTGCTCCCATGTGCTGCTCCTGTAGCCGCCATCAGTAGAACAGTCTCCGCTACACACAGACGCATCGTCTTTCTCATCTGAGTCTGTGGTGGCCATGTTGGGCCCCAGACTCTCTCCTAGATCTGTGTCAGAGGGGGCGGTGGAGGAGAATGATTGGCTGAGGCTCAAAAGCTTCAGCCTCTAGAACAGCTGTTGAATCTTCTCCAAGGATGTCCCCAGAGCCTTGCTGGAGGGTGGAGTGGTCACCTGTGGTTGGGTGAGGAAAGTGTAGCATTACTTTAAGCACCCAGTCTGTCTTATACAGAATCTGAAGGTCATCTGCAATCAGTGGCTTATTTGGGTCTTCTGTGGTCATAGACAAGACCCATGTGTTATGTGAACCTCATCCTACCCACCCATAGACATAGGGTGTTAGTTCAGATGATTCCTTTTAGGCCTGATGTTCTAGGTATGGCCAGTGTGCATATTCCTGTTGTTTCTGAGCATCACACTTTGGTCATGTTGCAAAGAAACGAAGGAGATTCAAACGAGGCACTCAGGAGTACACGCCCTCTCTCAGTTTATTGTATGGTGAGCTGCTTTCTCCTTGTGCCATTCATCACATTTTATCTTCCCTGCAATTCGATGGGCTACCATCAGCATGGGTGTGGAAAGCAGGCACCCAGATGGTGAATACATTTGCCATGATAACCCAGTGTCTTGGTAACAGAGCCGAGACCCAGTTCTGAGTCTGGGTCCAGTCATTAGCTCAGAGCTATGTGCTAGTGTGAGCCTTCTCATTAGCTTGAAAACTGAAGTTGGATGCTAGGTTTTCCAAAATAGCGCTTCTCAAAAATAGTTACTTTTTCAGATAATGCTTCCTGTCTCCTATGTGTCACTGAAAATGCTTGATCAGGAGGTGATGTTTCTGAGTGGTTTGAAATCTGGGGATAATTGAGAGGAAATTATAGTCTGGTGAATCCTGTTTTCTTGGTTTTATAGCCACAAGTTGCACCAAATAATAATTATAATTTTTTCTTTTGAGACAGGGTTTCCTGTGGCTTTGGAGGCTGTCCTGAAACTAGCTCTTGTAGACAGACTGGTCTCATACTCACAGAGATCTGCCTGCCTCTGCCTTCCAAGTGCTAGGACTTAAGATGTGTGCCACCACCACCCGGCCCAAATCATTATTCTTATCAGTGACTTATAGGAGGCTTGGATAGGTCTGTGGATAACTGAAGACCCTTCTACTCTCAGCAGATTTCATTGTTTAACTTCATATAGATGGCCACATATCTGCATTATTTCTAAGGATAGAACATAACACACAAGCTAATTAACCACCATATAAAAGCAGATGCAGGTATAATATGATATTATTGGGAACCATAATAGAGCCACATAGATGGCAATACCACATATTAATCACACACCCTTAGTTATCAAGACCTCAGACTCCACTTGTTAAATTTATGTTTCAGGGTTGTAAGGATTAGATGGTAAATGTAGGCAAAGTGCTTAGCACAGAACCTGGCACATAGCCAAATACTCAATAAACATTTACCCATTATCTGCTTCACAGGTGGATAGGCAAAGGTTGAAAGTCAGACACACACACACACATACCCAATGTGTAACTTTTCCCATTTAATTTATAAAGAGGGAAACAGACCTGGGAAGATCACATGCCTGATCTGGGTTTCACAGGGATGGATTGATGACACCATGGTTAGCACTTAAGGGTCATGTCTTTTGGTCATGGTTTTCTCCTTTCCTATTTGCCTTTATACTTTTCTCTCTTCCTCCCCTGCTCCCTGGCCAGCATCCCCAACCACCATTGGTCCTTACCCTCTTTCTTGGCTCAGTGGTTGTGGACACCATGACAGAGTTGCATATGGTTAGAGCAAGGAAGAAATCAGCAATGGAGGCCGTGGTGGAATGGGAAGGCTTGGCAGGTCTGGTGTCAGAGGTCTCCAGCCACAGGGCAGCATCCCTCACCTTGCTCAGGAGGTTTTTATCAGGAGTTACATCTTTTTCCTGGAAGAAAAAATGTCCAAGTGAGATCTTTTCCTGAAAGGCCTGGGAAGGGAGGTCCCTCCCGGCAGGCTCTGCATGTCTAGGCTAAGAATAACTCTCTTGTCCCTGCTGTCTTGCATCCAGAAATTCCTCCCTTCCCCTGGACTGATCACTGCTAATTTATTATTCTATTCCTCGTTGTGAATCAGCTCCCTGGAACCATGAGCTGCCAGGCACTGGCATGTCTTCCCATCTAGCATTTCTTCACCACTTCTTCCCTACTCCCCTTGCTTCCAGTCTGGCTGGACCCTTCCATCCTCAATTTTGTGTTTTTTTTTTTTGCACAAACTTTATACCATATTACTGGCCTTTCTACTCTTCTTTTCACTATTCACATGTACATCTACTGTGTTCCTAAGACACCACTTTCTTCCTGCAACTTTTGACTTCCAAAAAGATCCCTAGATCCGTACTGTTAACATCATCAATTCCTCCTACGTCTACATTCTTTCACACATACATTTCCCAAGTTTGGCTTCCCTAGAGGTCTCTTCTGCATTCTGGACCCACAATCTCCATCTATGCCCTCTGGTTACACCTGTTAGATTAAGAATCATCTCCTACCCGTTAGAATCCCACTTAGATCCTAGTGACCACAGAAGTGTCATCTGTATATTAGAGTTTTTCTAACTCACAACGAATTCTTCTGAACCACAAAAGCAAGTTCTACCCTGTAACTGCCACCAGGTACCAAGAATAAAGGAGAATGAGGGAAGTAGGCCAAGGCACAGCTGAGGTTATTATGGGATGGAAGGTGTTGACCTGGCAAGCTATACTAAATAGTGATGCCAGCTTTGCTTAGCAAAATGCTCCGGGCTGGTCCCTTTTGCCAAATAGCCCGACTCATCAGGATAAGCAGAGATGATAAGTGACCTGTTTTCTCTTTTCCTTTTTTTTTTTTTTAACTTTCTGAGCTGAAGCTGATCTATAACCTCCAAATTTTCACATTATTTGGTCAAACTTTCCATTTCATATGTCACTCTAAAACTCAGGCTATCCATCTTCTCTGCATTTGAATATTGTGCTTGCTTCTAAAAGTAGCTCACATTTATGAAGTGCTTTCTACCTTCCCAAGCCTAGGTCTTTTGTGGGACCCCACCAGGTTGTCACAGGTTTATGTGGAGATGAATGTAATCCAGTTTTAACCAAGGCCCAATGATGTGGGCAGACTTGATCACTGGCTCTTTGCGAGACAGGGTGAAGCCCAAATCACAGATCAGATTCCTGGCTGCCTCTCAATCTTGTCTTGAAGGCCTGTTCAGGTGCTAGCTTCACCGGGAAGCTCCCAAGAAGCTGGAAGGAGGATGGCGCTACCCTCTGCTGATCTCTTATAACACATCTGTACCTACTGTTCCAGCAGTAGTCACTGGTGGTCCACTTGCTTCTTCATTAGGCTGTAAGTCCCCAAATCCAGTGGCCACTGCCCTATAAGATTTTATATCCCCACCGTCTACCGTATCCACCACTGAGTAGATGTTGACTAATGTTGAAAGATCGGCTGACCAAATAAATGAAAGGCTATTCTAAAGAGATGCCGACAGTCACCACAGATACAGTCAACAGAGTAGGGAGGAAACAGGGCCTTCTGTTTGCCGCTGGGGAACATGTCAACTGGCATAACATCTTGGGAAAAATCAATTGACTAAGAAATGCACCAACACTCCAGCTTAGCAATTATGCTCTAAAATTAATACTGTGAGAAGCCTGCCACACATGTACAAGCACATGATGGCTCAACTATTCAACAGCTTCCAAGAATGAGGCTACTCTTTACTCATTTATACATGTGTGCCTGCACATTCTCCAGGATTTGTGAACTTTTCTGTTTTTGACTACCAAATTTGGGGCTGAGGAAATGGCTCAGTGGTTAAAGTGTTTGCCTTGAAAAAGCACAAAGATGGCAGTTCAGATCCCCAGCACTCATGTAAATACTGGGTGGTCTTGGCACTCCACATGTAAGTCCAGCCTTGGAAGATAGACAAGGAATCCCCAGAGTAAGTTGCCTAGCTAGAGTTATCATATGGGCAAGCCTTGTGTTTGGTTGATAGACCCTACTACAACAGATAAGGTAAAAGAGTCATAGAAGATGATTTCTGACATTGACCTTGGGTCTTCAAATGGGCATGTGATGGGGAAATGTACTTCTGTATATATGTTTCTCTTATTGGCTGATGAATAAAACACTGATTGTCTAGTAGCCAGGCATGAAGTATAGGCAGGGCTACCAGACCAGGAGGATTCTGGGGAAAGGACACAGAGAGGAGCCACCAGAGAAAGACACCATGTAGTTATGCGAAGATGGGATGCTTGTATTCTCCAGTAAGATAAGGCCTTGTAGAAATACATAGATTAGTAGTTATGGGTTAATAATTAAGAGAGAGTTAGCCAGTAAGAAGCCTAAGCCATTGGCCAAACAGTTTATAATTATTATAAGTCTCTGTGTGTTTATTTGGGGCTAAATGGCTGTGTGACCAGGCAAGAAAGAAACTCAGTCTACAGGCATATGCATACACACAGAGAAATATATGCATGCACAGCCATGTAGACACACATGTGCCCACACATGTAGACCTGCGTATGCACACACATGAAAACAGAAAGAAGGCAAAGTCCAAAGGAGGGATGGAGGACAGCACCAGGTGGCCTTTGAATCCCTTTTTAATACATAACTGTATGTTAGTGTTAATAGCATGCAAACAGGGCGTTCTGGTTGCTGGGGAACTGAAGGCTTAATTCTTTTTTTTTTTTTTTTTTTTTTTT